CCAACATGATCTGCGGGCCCCATAGGGAGGGGGCTCCCGCCTGAGACTTCTTCACAATTCACTCAAAGACGAGGCTCCCGCCAGAGACTTCCTCCAAATTCAGGCTTGACGAGCCCAAAAGTGACGACAGTTACAGGGTTCCGATGACCCGCTCGGATTACCAACATGATCTGCGGGCCCCATAGGGAGGGGGCTCCCGCCTGAGACTTCCTCAGAATTCACTCACAGACGAGGCTCCCGCCTGAGACTTCCTCCATATTCAGGCTTGAGGAGCCCAAAAGTGACGACAGTTACAGGGTTCCGATGACCCGCTCGGATTACCAACATGATCTGCGGGCCCCATAGGGAGGGGGCTCCCGCCTGAGACTTCTTCACAATTCACTCAAAGACGAGGCTCCCGCCAGAGACTTCCTCCAAATTCAGGCTTGACGAGCCCAAAAGTGACGACAGTTACAGGGTTCCGATGACCCGCTCGGATTACCAACATGATCTGCGGGCCCCATAGGGAGGGGGCTCCCGCTTGAGCCTTCCTCAGAATTCACTCACAGACGAGGCTCCCGCCTGAGACTTCCTCCATATTCAGGCTTGAGGAGCCCAAAAGTGACGACAGTTACAGGGTTCCGATGACCCGCTCGGATTACCAACATAATCTGCGGGCCCCATAGGGAGGGAGCTCCCGCCTGAGACTTCCTCCCAATTCACTCACAGACGAGGCTCCCGCCTGAGACTTCCTCCATTTTCAGGCCTGGGGAGCCCAAAAGTGACGACAGTTACAGGGTTCCGATGACCCGCTCGGATTACCAACATGATCTGCGGGCCCCATAGGGAGGGGGCTCCCGCCTGAGACTTCCTCACACTTTACTCAACGATGATGAGGATGAGGATGATGAGTGGTGGTGAAGATGAGTGGTGAAGAGGATGATGATTGATTGTGGGTGGTGGTGGCGATGATGATGTTTGAATGAGGATGATGCCGATACCGATGATGACGATGATGTTCGTGAGCGTGTGAGAGAGTGCGAGTGATGATGATGTGTGTGTGAATGAGTGCGAGGAGAAGAGGGGGTGAGTGTTCCTGCGCGGGGTGTCCAGAGAAAACAAGAACCCCACTTTGGATGTGGGGAACAAGAACCCAACTTTGGATGTGGGGAAAAAGAAAAGAAAAACTAGTACAACAAATGATAACATAATCGTCCCCATACTTTTTTAAACACTATTTTTGAATATTCCTCCTGTAGAGGGACAAGCCCGACTTAAGACCACACCACCACGAACGGACCCTCCTCTCGGGGGCGTCCAAGAGGGGGGGGGGCATCCAAGGGGGGAGGGGGGTCGCAAATGGAGCCCGAGGCACATGCGCGGACGACGGGGGGACCAAAGAACGTCTTGAGAGAAGAGGGGCGTTGATATTTGAGGAGATATCATGGCCCCAGCCATGATACACCATCCCCTAATTAGTCGATCTGGCGTCGATTAGCGTGGATCTGGCGTCGGTTGGCGTGGACTCACCAGAGCCAGCAAGATGAAATAGAACGGCCCCAGGGCTTGGAAAACCAACAAGTACCGATAACGCTACTCACAAAAACTCTCCCGGGGGTGAGTTCTGATTCGGATTTTGAAATGAGCCCAGCGGTGGCGACGAGGGCCTCCCAGGAGGCCCCCCCCCAAAAAGACAACGAGGCAAGGGTAGCGTTGTGGGCACCTTTTCCTCCTCCCTTGAGTTGCCGCAGCCCCCGATCCTCGAAGCCCAACGCAGGCCACCCTCAGTCGTCCGCCGTCGCCCGTCGACAGTCTTGGTCGCCGTCGCCGTCGGCGCGTCGCCGTCGAAGCGTCTCTCCGAAGCCAGCGCGCCGCTCTCGCATCCCGCCGCCGCCGTCACGCCGCCGCGGGCGCGCCGGTGTCGCCGTCGGGCCCGTTGCTTTTTGTTTCCCGGTGACGCTCGTGATCGGCCCCGCCGCCCCCACGTCACGACTCGGGCGGGCGCCGTGCGGAGACTAGCCACGCCTAAGCACCACGGAGCGAGCGCAGAACGTGACGAGGCCAGCACCGAGCGGGTGCCTGGGAACGCCGCCGGGCAGCGGGCTGGACGAGGGACCGGGCGCACGCGCATTGCTGCAGCGAGCACGGCCTCCTGAGGTCGTGCGACACCCGCGCACCGGTCGGCGCGCTGGAGCGCGCGCCCGCGGCGAGCGCCCCCGCCCCCTCGCGGTGCCGGCGCTGCGTGGCCGCGGCCCAGCGCCGGCAGAGGCGGCCAGCGCCCTCGGAGTGGCCCGCAGCGTCGCGCCCGCGGCGGGCGCTCGCGGGGCAGACGCTGGCTGGATGCCAGCGGCCGAGGCCGAGGCCGTGCGCAGCGGCCAGAAGCGGTTGGGCTGGGCGGCGGCTGCCGCCACTGGCGGCCGCGGGGAAGCGATCGGCGCCGGCGCCGCAGGGCCGGGCGCCGGGCCCAAGCGCGGGGGCGGCGGCAGCAGGCGCGCTGGCGACGTCGCGACGAGGGCCTCCCCGAGCGCCGACGCGGCACCAGCGAGCGCGTCCCCGCGGGGGAGGGCAGCCCAGGACGCAGCGCGGGCGGCAGCAGCGGAGATGCGGGCGTTGGCCCCCGAGCGTTTCGCCCCAGGGGGCGCTGGACGGCTGCGCGGGACCTCGCCTGCGGGGCGAGGTCCAGCAGCGGCTCGCGGACGAGCCGGCGGAGCTCGGCGACGCGGCGCTGCGCCGCGTCGTGGCCCGGGCGGTCGCGCACGCCGCGCCAGCCTACGCGCTGGCATACAGGACAGGCTGAAAGTCGTCGGCGTCGCCGGGGCGGTTCCGCCGCTCCGCGTGCGGCGCCGGCGCTGCGGCCGCAGCGGGGCGCGCCGCGCGGCCGCCCCCTCGTCGGCTCTGGGCCTGACGCCTCCCGCGCGCGCCTGGCGCGCGCTTTCCTTCTCCCGCCCCGCCCCCCCGCCCCCTCTCCCCGCGCTCTCTGTCGTGCCGTCTCCTCGTCGTCGTCTCTTGCTATCTTGCCACAGGACTCTGGCGGGCTGGTAAAAGTGACGTGGCCGGCCCCATTCCCCCTACCTTCGCTGCTGGTCCTTCCCGTTAACCCCCGAAGACAATGAAACTATCTCATAAGTACCGATGCCGCCACTTCATGAACATCTCCCGGGTGACGCTGGGGATTCAAAGAAGTATAGGGGATTCTAAGAAGATGGCACAGTGGGTCACATCTGATCTACCTTGACTTACGAGTGCGTTACACTTTGGTGGGTTAGAGAACTCCACTAAGTAGGCGGTGCCTGGACGCCCATTCGAAGCTTTTCGTGGTCAAGGATGCAAGGCCCTTGGACGCAGGGCGCGGCCAACGAGAGTGGTCAAGGATAGACCGAAGAGGCAAGGATGCGAGGGTACCCTTGGGAAGGTCGCCCATCCTTACTCTGCGGGTTGACTGCAGCCCAGATCGTTCTCCCCCAAGCCTCTCCATGCACAGATCACCCACTGATGAGCTAGGTCGAATCAGACATCATCTACCTTACCATGCACATGACCGTCTATCGACTTGCTAAACCAAGGGGGCGAGCCGTTCCTCCGCGGCATCGGCAATGTGAGCCAAGACATGGTTTGTTTTCACCGCCAGGCACCAGCGCGACGGGTTTCTGATTTGTTCGAGGGCGACGAAGGGACGAGGCAGAGGAGGAAAACGAGGCCCAGGGGGAAGCAACGACAACCCCAAAACGCAGGAACGACAAAGCGGGAGGAGAGGAAACAAGAGGGGAGACGAGACAAGACGACAGGACGACAAGGGACGGCAGCATCACCTCAACGAAGAGCGCGGACTGCGATCCCAAGAAACACGCAAGAGAACCGATCGGGCCTAACATCAAACATACTTGAGCGGACAAGGTCGCCTGGTCAGCGTCCACGTTTGACGGCCGCCCATCCCTTCCCCTCCCGTTCTCGTGCGTCCGCACCATGCGCTGCAAATGTGGGTGCGATGCTTTTCGGCTGCGGCTGTGGAGGAATCCGCGACCGCCAGCTGGGGGTCACAACACCGACGGGGAGCTCCAAGCTCCGCGTGGGAGCCCTGGGGGCCTCCGCGCGGAGCCCCGAGACAAGTTTATGCCGTTTTTTGTCCTTCGTGTATCGGTAGAACTCCTCCTCCTCCTCCTCCTTCTCCTCCTCCTCTTCTCCCCTTCGACCTCTTCCTCCTCCTCCTCCTCCTCCTCCACCTCCTCCTCCTCCTCCTCCTCCTCCTCCTCCTCCTCCTCCCCCTCCTCCTCCGCCTCGTCCTCCTCCTCCTCCTCCCCCTCCTCAATCCCAGCCATTCTTTCCCTCCTCCTCTTCCCCCTCCTCCGCTTCCTCCTCCTCTTCTTCTTCGTCGTGGCCATTCGGGACGATTCAGGCCCCCCCTCGAACACTCTCAGCCAGGCGCAGATTATAGAACGCATCCCGAGATTGGAAAACCGACGAACAACGAGGAAAACCTCGAACGCCGAGCCTCCCCCCCCCCTGACGTTGCCCATTGAGATTGTTCTCAATCCCCTCACCTAGCGTCCGCTACGGGGGTCAGGAACGGGGGTCAGGCCTGCGAGCGCCACAGCATGTGTGCGAGCACCAAAACATGACGTCGTGTGTACCAGGCGTCGTCGTCGCCGTCGTCGTCGTCGTCGTGGTTTCGGGTGTTGGTAGATGTTTTTGGTACCCCTTTTTGGGGACCAGGGACCCCTTAGGGTTCTTTTGGGGTGCAAAAGGTGCACCTTTCTCTCCAACTCCCCATTTATTTCCCCTCCATTGCGCCGCGCCCGGTCGTCGTCGTCGTCGTCGTCGTCGTCGTCGTCGTCGTCGTCGTCGTCGTCGTCTTCACCGGGCGTTGCCGTCGTCGTCGTCGTCGTGATAGTCGTCGTCGCCCAGCGCCGACGCTGCCGTCGCCGCCGCCGCCGCCGCCGTCGTGCCGCCGCCGCCGTCGCCGTCGCCGCCGTCGCTGGGCGCCGCCGCGGCCGTGCGCTGGCGCTGCCATCGTCGTTGGCCGCCTGCGGCCCCGTTCCCTTGGGCGCGGCCGGCGCCCGCGGGCGCACGGCGGCGCCCCCGCGCGGCGGCGCCGCGGCGTCCGCCCTGCGGCGCCTCCTCGCATGGGGGCTCGCCGGCAAACAAAAATACGTGTCCGCGGCCTCGCGGCGCTGATGCGGGGGAACGAGAAGAATGACAGTCGCGCTTCACAGGTCTCCCCTCCCCTCCATGGCAAATGAGCTCGGCTCGAGTCTGAGGGAGGCGAGAGGCAGAGAACGAATACGCCAGACAACTGTCCACCCCCGCGCGGGCAGTGGCAACCTTAGCAACATCGGATCGGGAAATCGGATCGGGTCGGAACGTGCGTCGGATCGGGCTGCATTGGGAAGCATCCGTGAGTTGTTTCCCAAGCAGCTTGTCTGTGAAAATTCTGGGAACTCATGGCCAGCTGGATTACGAATGATTTTGCAGAGTCGTAATACACGAAAACAAATATAACACTTATAGTACCAATGATATTGATAATGCTCAAGATAAAAATCATAATTATAATCCGCTGGAACCCTCTGGGGGCGCAAGGCTGCGATGGCCTTGTGTCTCTCCAGTCCTGTTTCCTGCCTCCCGTTTACAGTCTGATCAGGGGCCCCGCCGCGCCACCAAACAGCCAACCGTTGGGGGGTGAACCTCAAATCCCAGCTGCTCCGGGCCGATCCAGAATTCTCATGGTGACGCCACCGCGCGGCCAGAACGGCCCGAGAGGCCTCCAAGATTGCCCGAAGAGGCTCCAAGAAGACTGGGTAGTCGAAGCCAATCTGGCGCCAATCTGGCAGGCCCAATCTGGCAAACCGGGGCAATCTGGCGAGGGAGCCAACGCGAATCCAGTCTGGCGAATAACCCAAATCATCCAGTTTGGCCGGGCCAGATTGGCCCTTGGGGCCTAATCCAATCTGACAGTCTGGCCTTCGACTACCCAGGAAGAGCCTCAGGAGCCCAAGACGGCCCAGAAAGACCCCAAGATGTCCCACGATGGCCCCAAGACGGCCCAAGATGCTGCCAAGACGGCCCAAGAGGCCTCCAAGAGGCCTCCCAAGAGGGCCCCACCAAGCAAAAGTCAACACTGTTCCTAACGTGTTTCCCGGAAAGGGCGCCGGCCCAGGGTTCTCTTAGTAAATAAACCTGTCCCTGGTGCCTCAACTGAGGTGGGCCGGCGGATTCTTTCCCTGATAAATATCAAGGTCGAGGTGGGCCGGCGGATTAAAATTTGAGGATGTCTCAGGCGAAACGCTTGTTTTTGAAATCCCGATCGATAAATCACAGGGTGCGGGCCACTCTTTCGTGTGTTGAGCATGTCTCGAGCGAAACGCTTGCTCCGCAAGAGTTACCGAGGATGTCTCGAGGACTGTTTCGCGGGGTGTCTCGTGGAATGTTTCCAGGAGAACGTTGAAAACGGTCGCCCGTGTCTCGTGGAATGTTTCGAGGGGTGTCTCGTGAAAGGCCAGTCGCCCAATACGGTGTCGTGAAAACGTTTCCATGCATGCGGTTCTATATCCCTTTCCGGGTTCGTGGGTCCATCATGTTGCAGATGTTTGGCTTTCTCGCGTTTTCGGCTTTCCGACGCTCCGAGACGGACCAAGATGTTCCCAAGATCGCCCCACGACGGCCCTAGAAGCTCCCATGACGGTCCAGTAGGCCCCCAAGACGGCCGAAGAGGGCCCAAAGACGGTTCAAGAGACGCCCCAGACGGCCCAAAAGGCCCCTGAGAAGGTCCCAAGAGAGGCCCAAGAGGGAGTCCACGAACCGAAAACTCTACCTTTCCGCCCCGAGAGGGCCCCGGAAGGCCCCGAGAAGGTCCCAGGAGGCCCCAAGAGACCCCCAAGAGGCCTCTAAGAGGCCCCAAGGAGACCCCCAAAATCCAAAACGGCTTCCAAGAAGCTCCAACAATGACCTGCAGACGCTGCCGAGAAGCCTGCTACGAGAAGCACCCACGGCGCTATCCACGCAGCCGCACGCACTAGTACTAGGGGGCCGGCGGCAGAGGGTGAAGACCTAAAGATATACATCAGAATGATACGGATCCGGCCGCTCCCGCCCTGCGGGTTGGGCCGTGCGAGACCTCTCTGACAGATGTTTGGGGCACAATCTTTAGCCCCACTCGCCAGTGCCTGGTCAAACACCTTTCTGAAAGTCCCTCCGAGGGGGCCCCACTCTGCCGCCGGCCCCCCCCCCCTCCTTCAAGATCAGGAACAGCCCGGGGACGACCCAAGAGCGCCCCAATCCGGTCCAAGAGAGCCCCTAGACGGTCCAAGAGAGCCTCCAGACGGTTCCAGATCGTTCCAAGACGCCCAAGATGGCCTCCAGACGGAGCAAGACGCCTCCGAGACGCCCCAAGAGGCCTCCAAGAGCACCCCCAAGAGATACAAATCCTTGATTTGTCGATGGTTTTGAAGGATTTTCGCATTCTCACAATTTCGGTATACCGATACTCTAAGACGGCCCAAGAGGCCCCCGAGATCGCCCCAAGACGGCCCAAGAAGCCCCCAAGAGAGCTCCAAGACAGCCCAAGACGGCCCTAAGACGGCCCAACAGGCCCCCGGGACGGCCCAAGAGGCGCCCCAGGACGGCCCCAAGAAGGCGCCCAGAAGGGGAACCCGAATGAACATTTCCCGCTTCCTGTCCCAAGAGGCCCCCAGGAGGCTCTAAGAGGCCCCCAGGAGGCCCCCAAGAGGCCCCAAGAGAGCCCCAAGAGGCCCTAAGAGGGCCCCGAGAGGCTCCCAAGAAGCCCCAATGAGGCCCCCCAAAGGCCCCTCAACTCCCCCGCAGAGGCCCCCGAGAGCCCGCTCGCGAGACCCCAAGAAGCGTCCATGAGGACTCCGACCCAAAACCCAAGCACGGTGGCAGGATGGGCCGACGGCCTTTTGATAGCTGGCATACGCGCCGCGTGACGACTTTCGATGCTGCGTACCACTTCGGTAAACTCACAGGGAACGGCCAGTGATGCGCCGCCGGCGTCCTCGAGAAAAATCAGAATGATACACATGACCGTATCAAACTCAAAACGAATGTCGGTACTTGCCTTCGTCGTAGTGTTACAAGTGCAATTGTAATCGTAGACTGCCTTCGAATTAGAAGGTGCAGTAGTGGTATACAGTACCCCGATAAGTAAGAGTTGTTAGTCATACCAATATGGTCAGCAATCAAATATAATAATGGTAATGGTCAGGAGGTGGACTGCAGGGCAACTGTGGAAAGAAGTTTCGATTATTCTGCCGCAAGGGTGCAATATTTCGCAGTCGCGAACGATCACGATGAGCAGGTGGAGACACTCGAACCCTACCCCCACAAATCGTCGCTTCTCCTGAATCGATGCAGGGCGGAAGTAAGGTTCGGACTTCGCAACGTGCTCGATTAATTACGAACCCTAACCCCGCCGCCCAAGGTAGGGTTCGGATTTCACCGCCGACAAGCGGCAAGCAGAGGAAATTAAAAACGATCACAGCGAGGACGAACGAGGGAGGGGGGGGGGGGGGAGAATGGGGAAAACAAAGGAAACCGCGCTGCAGCCCCAAGATCAACTCCTGGGCGTGGCTTCGGGTCAGTCGCCATCGAATCGAAAAATCGGTCGGAACCTGCGTTGGACCTGGCTGCATCGGTACGGTTCTGTTGAACTAATGGAAGCCTTCCAACTGGCTCTCACGAATCGACGCTGAATCAACGCTAAATCGGCGCTTCCCCATCGATTACCAAACGCCAAACGGTAACGCACGCCAATGAATCAAACGCCGGAACTACGAAGACATACGAAGCCCCCATGATCTCGGGCACGGCCTAACCGACCCCTAGCAAACCATCCCCTTCCGTGGCGTCATCCTCGCCTTTCGAGTTCCCCTCCGGCCGCATACGTACGTTTTGGGCGAGGCGAGGGGGACGTCACAGAAGGGGATGGTTTGCCCAGGTCGGTTAGGACGCCCCTGATGATTTGCCAGCCAAACACGGAATCGACTTCGAACCGCATCGGCTGCGCCAAGGTGCACAGCAGAGCGGTGCGGGCGTCGGGACACACCGGATCGTCGGAACCTCGGACTCGGATTGCTCGAGCTCACTCGGTCAGGCCCCCGACGAGATATGCCATTCGGGGGCTCGGCCTCACCGGATCCCGAGAAAAACCTCCTCTTTCAAACGGCTGTTTCGGCATGGCACTCGGCATTCAGTGGAACTCCAGCCCAGATCCAGGATCTGGAAGGGCGGACCTGCACGGTTTCCCCCGGGGCCGTAGGCGACCCGAGGAGGAGGTGGAGGAGGAAGAGGGTGAGGGCGAAGAGGAGACGGAGAAGAAGAGGAGGATAAGGAGGAGGAGAAGGAGGAGGAGGAGGGAGGAGGGAGGAGAAGAAGGAGGAAGGAGGAGGAGGAGGACGGGTCGCCCAAGCCCTTCGAAGAAGCCCTCCAGGCGGACCCATCGGATCGGATATCGTGTCGTGGCTCGACCGGCGCCCGCGTTGCTGCACGCCTCGCCGGCCGGAGGCGAGCAGGACACAGAGCAAGTGTGATCAGATCGCTGCCTGTCCTTCTGCTGTGACTCCGCGCAGAAACACGGCGCGCTCGAGCACAGAGGTAGTGGATAAGAAGCTGCTGGTCGGAAGGGCTGCTCGACTCGGAACTTTTGGCCACTTGTGGAGCTCAAGAAAGGTAGCAGGCAACAAAAGCTGAGATGCGTCCTTCGCGCCGCAGCCGCCATGGCAACTGCTCCTCCTGGCCCGCGATGAGTCCGTCCCATGAAAAGGGCAGACATCTAAGGTTGGCTTTTCTTTTTCCCTTTCAAGGGGCACATGTCTCTAATCGGGGTTTACCATAAACCAAACTACCATACCTAAAACTTGGAATGTGCTAACATAGCCATACCTGAAACTCGAAAACGTGAAAGGGAAATCGTGACCATTCCCTAAACCGAGGCGTGCCATGTAGGAAATCTGAGCACGACCCACCGACCATCACCAAAACGACATCTGTGCGGCATCTGTGTCAGCTACCTTCGCGCACCGCTCCCCGCCATGCGCGACCCGCAGTGATCTGCACGACCTCGCCAGGCCAGTCTGGAAAAAGGCCCCTTCCGCTGCCCCGTCCGCAACACGAGGAGCGTGATTATATTCAACCTCCAGGGGCGGCCCAGAACATGTTATTTCAACAGTCGGTGATCAGCGAGGTTATGTCGGCGGTTCGAAGATGGGGTCCTGAGGGATGGGGTCCTAGGGTCGAGGCACCGCAAGCAACGTAAATCCACCCTTGGATCCCTTCCTATTCTCAGGCCCCCATCCCACATGACTCCATCTTTGAACCGCCGAATCTTGGGGGGGGGGGGCCAGCCGATAACCTAACCTTTGCGCATTGTGCAACTCCAGGTGTGCCTCTGCGCACCCAAAATGTGAAACCAGAACGATAATTGCGCTGGACCTCTCACAATAAGGTCGCTCCCAACACGCTCAACAAGCCCCCGAGATACCCGCAATAGTCCTTCGGAGGGTCACAGGAAGGAAGCCCCCTGGAACCTTGACAAGGCTCCCAAGAGGTCGCCCTGGAGGCCTCCAAGAGTCCACCAATAAGCCGCGTAACAGACGCAGATGAAGAATGGGACAAACGACAACGACAAACCAGCAACGACTACTCGTAGGCATCACACGTCTCCTATTCTTGGAGTCTGCGTATGGCGTGAGACCCTTCAGCAATTCTGCTGGACCCTGCACGTCTCAGAATATCCGGCGAGTGCCGAAAATTTACGCGAGCACCATCAATACACATGGGTCGGCAGAATTGGGCCGAACAATGAAGTGAGAAAGCGTTGAACGTGACTTGGGTTTCCGCCCGCCCCCTAAAGATAAAGGAACATGGAAAACAACTCTAGGATTGAAGAAGACATGCGCATGACATGTATTAGAAGCTGTGGTCAACAAAAACCTACTGTCAACGACCGATGAATGTGTGCCCGTGAACGCCGCAATAGCCTTCCGGTACCAGAGCATGCCTGGGAGCACCCTGGCCTACGCCCGCGAGCACCACGGACAATTGTGAGCAACGCAGCGCCCATCGAGTGACACGAAATATGCCTGCGAGCGCTATGCTTGCGAGCGCCACTGCATGCGGGCCACTGCGCTCTGGAGGTAATTGCTGGGAGGAAACCACAAGAACAGAAGGGAACTAGCAAATCTGTTTCCAACGCCATTGGAACGGAGTCGTGCGGATTAGGACCAACATTAGACCATATCAAACGGGATGAATTGGAATGAGCTGCCTTAAGCCGGATTAGGCAGGTCTTTGACTACTCCAGATTTCGTAATAAAAGGGAGGGGGTCTGGACCCTCCAAGACAAGCCATTTCAGACCTCCCCCGTGGGAGAACCCTCCAAAACATCGTCCCCAGACCACCCAGGCCCTCCAAGATAGCCTGGAAGAGACCCCCCCCGAAATGAGACCCCCCTCCCTCGATTACGAAATCTGGAGTACGGATTTACAAGCGCCAATGCTCAGTTAAGCCTCCCAGGAATTGTACACGAAAGTGTGCCTGCGAGCGCGACAAGATGCGGGCTAACGACACGGTCAGGTCGGCGGGAGAGGGAGGGCGACATGGCAAGTTCGTGTCGTGACGACCCTGGCATTGGCTTCTGGCACCGCATGGATCGTTCAACCTTGAACCATCGGCGGCGTTTCGCTCACCTGATCTCTCCATATTGGCCGATTCTGGGCCACCGGCGGCGTTGAACCTTCAACGCCAACGCTGGGGTCGCAACCGCATCGGCACGACGCCACTCCAGTGTAACCCGGGGTATCGCTGGGCTCGGTCCAAAAGGAACTCCCAGGGACGGGGCATTCATGAGAGGCTTGGTACAAGGTCGGCAATACTCATGGGCCCCATTGGCTTGGTGGCATCCCTGCAATGTCCCTCGGAACAGCGCAGCGGAAAAAACAAGATGGGATGGTGAAGATGGGCGAGGTGGGAAGGCGAAGGATCAGCAAGAATGGGGTGGAAGTGAGGCAGGAGCGAGAGAGAAGTGAGGAGGGAGGAGGCCGACGAAAAGGGGGAGGAGAAGGGAAGGAGAGAGAGAGAGAGACAGAGACGAGGGTGGGCGCAGAAGGAGGAAGCGCGAGAATGCAGGGAGCGAGGAGGCAGGAGACGAGGACGACGCAGAGAGGAAGGAGGGACATGAGAGACACGTGAGCGACGAAAAATATGTGGCTTCACGCGAGATGGCTTACTGGCCATCGCTCGGACGTCCATTCCCTGTGTTTTTTTCGGTTTCGTGCGTGGTTTTTTCGCCGAATGATCAAGGATGCTCCTCCATGGCCCTCGCCGAGAAAAAATGCACACGTCCGAGCGATGCCAGGCTTAGGGACCTGAAGAGGTGGCTTGCGCAGGCCGCCAGCGTGGCACACCGAGTGGACACGAGGACGCTTACGCGCGACCTTCCGCGAGCAGCTTAGGCGCCAATGTCGGCGCAGACGACACCGTTTTCTTCCGTCGCTCCTATGGAGAGGGAGGGTGAGGTAAGAGAGGAGCGAGGAATATGTGAGAGGGCCTTGTTCGTCCTCCTCTTATTCCTGCTCCTCCTCCTCCTCCTCCTCCTCCTCCTCCTCCTCCTCCTCCTCTCCCTGATTCCCTCCACGTCCCCCTGTCCGCTCAAACAGCCGACAGACCAGGCCTCCCCTGTGGCGCTTCCATGCTGGAATCTCATGGCGGAGCCAAAGCTGCACATAGAGGCCTTCTCGTCCTCCTCCTCCTCCTCCTTCTCCTCCTCCTTCTCATCCCCCTCCCTCCTCGTAAACGACCAATTCCGCGAATGACGCTCAGGGATTACCCATCTCCGACCTTCCAAATTACATATTCAGCCTCGGTCCTCGACCCTCGAACAGGTTCCGCCTCCGTTGCCTTGTCGGCGTCGCCGCCGTAACGTCCGTCCTGGCGCCGACGTCGACGTCGACGATACATCGCCAATGAATCGGCGAGGCGTCAACAATGTCGACGTGGATAAAGAACATCAGCATCCAGCATCCACATCACGCCGCATCGCCGATACGTCATTGATGCACGATCCTCCGACCCCATCTACTCGGGCCCCATGTCTGAGGCTTGGAATGTATACATATATATATATATATATATATATATATGTATGTCAACATATCTACAAATATGTGTTTATGAATACATATATATAGATATACGTACATATCTGTATATACACACGTATTATGTATGCGCTATACTTTCAAATATGTCCTTCTGAAACGATGTCGCCCAAACGGGCATCTCCGTTCCCAAACATCCGACGCCGTGATTTTGTTCACCGGGTGGCTCCCACGAAGCCTGGACCCATGCCCGGAGATCGGTGTCCATCCAGACCCGTCGCTTGCCGGCCCCAACCTTCCCGTCAAAATGTTCTCCACGACGCGAAGATATCAGCATTGCCGCAACCCCTCCCCCCCGCGCAGGGCCGAACCACGCCGCGCCGGCGGCCGCGCCACGCACGCCGGGCGCCGCGGTCGCGGCACCGCCTCCGCAGGGGCCGCCGAGGAAGCCGCCGGGGGTTGCCTGGGGCGCGCCGTCACCGTCGGCGCCGCCGCCGCGGTCCTGGGCTCAAGTCGGGCATGTCCTCCTACAGGCTAATTTTCGACGAAAAATTACAAGCTTCAGAAAAGACGCCGGCCCAACGGGCCAGAGGCGTGCTAAGATCTCTGGTCATTGGTTAACAGAATTACAGTATCACAATATCTCTAGTTCGCGCGCGCAGGGCGGCTCCTGGGGGCCCCCAAACCAAAAAAACAAAAAACGACCAATCCCCGACCAACCCCCGGGCAGGTCCCCAGCAGGTCCTGGGAGCGCGCCAAAGGGCCCCGAGACGCCCCGGAGACGGTCCAAGAGGGCTCCGAGTTGCTGAAAGATCGTTCCACGACGCCAAACATAGCCCTCAGACAGCCCTAGAGGCCAAGAAGCCCCAAGAGAGTCTCACGAGACCCTCCAAGAAGATCCCAAGAAGCAAATATTGCGCCATTCCTTCAGGAAAACGCACATGTTTCGCATATACCATTCTCAATATTTCACACCGTCTCAGACTGCCCAAGCGCCCCCAAGATCGCCCCAGGAGGGCCCAACAGGCCTCCAAGAGCCCGAGAGAGCCTCAAGACAGCCCAAGAGAGCCCCAAGACGCCCCAAGAGGCGCCCAGGATCCCCCAAGAATGGCCCCAAGAGAGGGAACTCCAAGTGACATTTCGAGCTTTCCGCCTCTAAAAAACTCCCAAGAAGCCCAAAACGGAATCCCAAGAACCCCCAAACGGCCCCAAATAACTACGCCTCAAGAGGCTTCAAAGCTGCCTTCTAGAGGCTCCCCAGGCGCCTGCCGAGAGATCCAAACAGCACCGCATTGACAACGAGCGCTCACGCAAACGGCAGATATGAGGCTGCATGGTGCCGAACCCTGCCAAAGCACTCCCCAGAGGGTCCTCCGAGGCAATTTCTAGGTGCTTGCTGCCGAAACAACAAACACATAGAAACCCCGTGCAAAAAATAAACACATCCTCCGACAACACCCGTGAAAGTCCAAACGAATCGCCCCCAAATCTGCATTCATCATTCCGAACGGAACGACTTAGAAAAAAACGCCCCCGCCCCCCGCAGGCCCACACTGCAAGCGACCACTCGGCCAGCCGACAGCGCTAAGACAAGATGGGCCAGCGGAATGAGCGAAACGATTATCTAACCAAACAATGCTCATATATATATACATATATATATATATACATATATATATATGTACACACCCAAAAACCGTCCCCATAGGTTTTTGTATGACATGATTTGAATATTTCTCGCGTAGGGGGACAGGCCCGACTTGATCCTGGGCTTCCGAAAACATCATTATGTTCAATCCCGCGTGGACCCCGGGGCAACACCTGGGTGGCAAGAGACGGGCTATGCCTGGCCTGACCTCGCGTATACCTGGTTCGCACAAGCCCTTACCTCTGCCAAGTGGGCTCCGCCCACTGAGCCGGGAGCTTTGACCTCCTGGGCCACCAAGGGCCCTTGCAACTCATGCCTAGGCAAGGTCAGGCCAGATGCACTTGTATGAAGGGGCCCTGGGACACACAAATAAATAGACACAAATAAACAGATTCCCCATACTTTCTCATATTTTCTGGGTTTTTGTC